TGATCCGCAATAAGCTCAGTATTAACTTTTCATTGACGGACGATAACATTTTAAAGTGCATGTACAAATAGTTTCATGTTTCGTGTTTACATTATAATTATTTAATAAAGCATTTATGACATTTTACACCTATATTATGTGTGCTATATAAAACGTTTTGATATTATTATTAAGATTATAATCGAAGATGTCTGTTATAATTATGTTGACAAAATGTGAAACAATTTGAAAATTTGAGATCTAATATATAGGGGAATTAATAGGATATTTAGTAAAAAATTTAATACATTCATAGAACAAACTAGAGAAATAGATTCAGTTTTACAAAAATATATCTGAAATATAAATATTGTGTTTATATATATATTGTGTACATATCATTATTAAAGTTAACATATACGTATATTTGGCTATCTGATTGAATGACTGAAATTGACGTAATATGCATTTTAATATTTCTGAATTCTCCAGTATGGGGGGTAAATATAACTAAGGAATATTATTAGCAACTTATTATAATGATAATAAAATAACAGTATAAAGAGCTGGTTTTATTATGAAATATTAGTTGTTGCAATAATAAATTGAAGATTTCTTTGAACGAGTCAACCATAATGTGAACATATTGCATCGGATGAAACGCATAATACATTCATAAGAAGTAGCTACAAGCGTTCGAGCACTTTCGTGAGCAGGTGAAACGATCTGTTTTCAACTGATTTAGCAAAAATGTCGTGAAAGAAGTGTTTCGTGCTCGGGAAACTCAGCGAGAGAGACGTTATTTTGCAGGTCTATTTACAGTAGTTAGCCGCGCATTCAGCCAGCCATGTTTAAGGCTGTTCTTGAGTTCGGCTGCATGCTTGACTAGGTAACGTGACGTGAAACACCGACTTTTACTTTCAGCGTCGATTCCATGCCTACGTGTGCCCTGTAGGCAGATAAGGATAAACGAAAACTGGAACGCCAAGCCACGTTAGAACTGTCACTGTCTTTGTATTGTAATACTGAAAAAATTCTTAGGTAAATACAGCCTCTTGACCCGTGCTTGACGGAGGTCATTCGCGTGAGGAACGGAACTACTTACGTTTTTTACGTTCGCGAATATGCGCCATCATGGCGCGGCAACATGATGTCTGTCTGATCCTTTTGTTGAAAGGGAAAGAATTTCGTTAACTAAATATATCATTGACGTTGGATTTTGCTTGACTTTTTATGAGGAACGATTGAACAGCGAGCTGGGAAAAGTATTAACATCACAAAGCAACAATCGAAGTGTAGAAATGAAAAGGAAAATATTTAATACGTTCTAACGTATGTGATATAATATCGGCAAGTAAGTATGGAACATACAAAATTTCAATATTGACATAGAAAAATCCACAGTCTAACACTAATTGTAAGAAATTACTATCACGTCGAGATGATAGAAGCGTTTATATGAAGCAATAATTTTAAATACCGTTGCAGCATGTACGTGAAAGGTTAAAACGACTGTACATAAAGATGATATTGACTTAAAATGTTGTATCCTGAACCATCGCTAATGTTATCATAATATTGCGTTAGTAGTTTCACTTTTAATCATAGTCTCATTATTTCACGCGCACAAAGAACCAAGCGAATTAGTTTTGTAACGCGTAATAATCGCGACGTGATTCATTCCTTAGAAGAATGGATTGTCCGCTGATTTGAAATCCGTCTATGGGAAATCGTATCGTTTAAAAAGTCAAATTTATCAGTTATTTGGTTCTTTCTCTACTTTGGAGAAGCTACGAGAAACCATCTTGGTTCGTTATCGCGATTGAAAGAGTGTGACTAATGGACAAAGTTCCTGGCAACGTGGCCAACGTAACGGAAAATTATAGTGACCGCTGTTATTTGAAATGTTATGTTCAACTACTCGGAAAGAAAATAATGATGGAGCAGCAGCAGCAGCAAGCGTATTATATTTCAGTATAATATTTCACGAAATTCTTTTTCGTCTGGGTCAATCAATTTCTTTGAAAATTTCTTAATTGCTACACTGCGAATTTTTTTTTAGTAAATTTCTATTTTTATGGACTTATGATTAAAAAACTAAAATTTTGAAACTGAAGTCTATTTACCAAAAATTGTAATGACTACTTTGAGTATTTTATACACATATATTTCTGCACTTCTAAATATCGCATAAATGCGTAAGAACCTGCATGCGATTAAATTAACAAAAATAATGGGTTTTTCCATTTAAGAAAAATCCGGATCTTTTTTCAGCAAATTAATTTCGTGACTGAATGTTAATGATTAGTAAATGAAAATCACGAATCTATTTATAAAGTTTATTGTCATTAGACACGCGATGACTTTAATTTGGGGTGAATAAGGATAAAATCGTCAATTTATTAGCCATTATAAGCGATTATCTATTAATCATTTAATTAATATCTTTCCGACAAAACAAGTCCGTTACTAATTTATTATTACCATCGATTAACTGTAATAAAGAAAATATCAGTTCATGGAAACGAACATTAAGTAGTCTAGATTATGACTGATTTAAATCACAAGCACACACTTGTAATTTCAGTAGTTGCAGAGTATATTATTAATAATTGTTGGATGTATATTTAACTACAGTGTACGTAGCATCATTTAAAACCATTGACCCAGTATAACATTTCGCAATTCCATTTTCACAATCTTCTCAAGAACACGAAGTGTCTATTTTAAAAAATCAAAGCAATTGTAAATTTTCTTATATCTTCCTCAATCACGATACTTTCACCGTAACTTCTTCTCATGAACCTATTCTCTCTTCCTGATGTAATAATAATCCATCAGCAATTTGTTTTCTCTGTCTTTCTCGCTTCTTCTATGGGCGTATATTTTTCTCCGACTAAAAATATTGATATTTCTTTGCACTTTTCGCTCACATGACGAGCAAGAAGAAAAATAACATTTTCTTATGTATTATTTGTCAAGAATACCTGTGCTTGAATTTACATCTGTAATTGAAATCTACCTGAACAGGAATAATTAACGAAGAATGTGACATAATATTTTTCCATTTAAAGTCTCATTTTCAAGAGAATAGGCTTTGATTTCAACTTTCTAGTTAGAAATTATTATAATGTACGTGTAGTTGACAAATTTTTAAATTCAAATTTCTAAGAAATAAAGCCACTTGTAAAAATATCTTATCTTGACTCGTAATTCATGGGGTTTTTTCACACTTTCAAATTCAATTTTCTTGAGAACGAAGGCTTCGAAATGTAAATAACTCTGCTCCGTCACACGATGCCTTTTTACTCGCGAACTCGTGCTTTTGAATAAGAATCTGCGACACCCTGTATATTGATGTACTTTCTATAATTAATGTACTCTATACGCGGAACAAAACAAGCACGTATGTGTTTAAAATTATCCGTTAGCCTATTAAGGACATTAATTTCGTTTCATCGACGCCAGGATCGTCAAAGCAAATGTCACCCATTACGTGGCGTGACATTCTTGCTTGTTCTTGCTCTAATTGCGTTCGATCGACAATAGAAGAGTGTTCGCTGCAAGCTGTTTCCTCTTGACAACAACGTCGACTATCTTCTTATTTTTCCAGAATTTACGATAGAGTTAGGCGAAAATTTAATCAGTGCTTAACGATCAAGTTCTTTGGATGTTAATCGCAAGTAATCAATTTTTGTATTCAGGAAATATACGATTGCGAATGTTTGTTAAAAAATTTGAATTTTTACGAGCATGAAAAATTACTTTGTTTCGTTTACTAGATATCACAACGAGCATCAATGCTTTGGGCATTCTCGCATTTACTCAACTGTCTGTGAATTTGTGCAATTCTAAATTTTCTCAGTCAAATGCATAAAAACTCGCGGCCGAATTATATTGACTTTATTAGTCGATTTTTTTCGACGATTAATAGCCCCAGTCGTTAGCATTAATCGGCCGATCAAGCTAAAAAATTTTAATCGATCGATGCTCAACTATGCCTTGCAAAAGGATCATCGATCGCGTTCGAAACTCTGACGCAACGTCCTTTACTCGCGTAATTGTCGCGTTGCAGTCGCTTTATGGAAAGCGGGTAATGAAATTCGTCGCGTTTGAATGCATCGTAAACTGTGATTCGATCGGTCCACGATTTCAAAGCCGATACTTAATAGGAAAATATCCGGTTGAACGACAATTTTCACTAACGAGGATCTAACGAACGTCGACCTGATAATAATAAATCGTTCGACTGAGAATCTGACTGAGAATCCTTCCATCGTCGCGACGATTATTATGAGGTTTAACCACGAAGGTGATGATCGCGTAACGCATACATTTGAATAAATTTGAATGGTTTAAATGTGAATCCGAAAGCAGTCTCGATTTGGTTCTGAATGAATTCCTCTGCGTGCAGCTAATTTATTTAAAACACCGATTCGAGCATCGTACGCGGTCACGTTGAGTTAATGGTCATTGTTCGGACAATTTGTACAATTATGTTGTCGTGACGACTCGGACGGAATGCGCTTAACATTCGTTGGTTACCGCTATTTAGAGGAAAAAGTCGCTGTTCACAGTATTACGCAGCTTAGGAATTAAATCTTCATGATTTTACGCAATGCGACACGTGTTCTTAAACATACACATATTCCAGATAAAATTTTAAAGAGTTTCAAAAGAAATACTAACTTCTTACTTTATTTGTAATATTGTTACTTCAAAGTATTCAAGTACCATTTTGTATGTAATGTTCTTATAAAATTATTTGTATAAATTTTTAATATGTAGAAAATTTATTTACTTATTTTTGAACTATTGAGAATAAAAATATATTTACAACTATTATTTTAATTTTTTTTAAAATATTTATTCGGGCATAAATTTATTGATTTAGTGTCTGAAATATGATCGAGAAAAGAGTATTCTATCTTGTTCCTTAAACTTTATTTCAGAAAGATAAATAAACCATAAACTACTAATATAATGGATAATTAAATAATTAACGCGAACGGTAATAATTTGTCCAGACTGCCGACCATAAAGCTGCGAATCGCGGTACTTTGAAGTACAATTCCAAGTCATTGGAGGAATCAACCACCGCATCGTCAACTTCGTCGTTATCGAGATCCAGAACGAACCGAGAGAGATCGGCGCAATCGAGGAGGCTCTCGAACATCGAAGGAACGACCCAGGCTTCAACGATCAATTCAGAATTAAACTCAAGCGAATCTTCGATCACCAGAACGATCGGAACCACCGAAAGAGACAGCACATCGACAGCAATCGAAGTCGCAGACGAGTCAAATGGAACATCGGACAAAAAGATTGGGGAAGTTAGAAAGATAGAGCCGACGATTAACAGACGAAATGGCAAGAGATATTTGCCCGAGAACGATGAAGGAACGAGATCGAAGGACAGTGAGCAGAGAGTCTCGGTCGAAACGTCGAGAGGTGTTTCTCGAAGAACGTCCAATGGAAGATCGAATAACTCACGAGTCACTGAGAGACTGGACAACAAAGGGCCATCCGTGTTCCTGGCAACCACGGAGCTATCGAGATCCAGAACTGGAAGGAAGATTCAAACGACTTACTCGAAGAAAGACTCGAAGACGCAGATCTCTACGTCTAGAAGGTACAACAACAAGAAGTTGGATGTTGAATTTACTACAACGTCGTACAGGAGAGAAGGCAAAGGTAGATCGACGACAGAGAGGATCGAAAGGAGTACCAGATCTGGTAGATCGAGAGTGAACAACACGGAGAATAATTCCGTTACTCGAAGAGGTCCGGATACTCTTTTGTCGGAATCCGAGAGTGTGAGAATCGACATACCGCTCGTGGTGAACGGAACAGGAAATCCAGTAACGACTGAGTCTGCTGCGGTCTCTCAGAGAAGATCGGACACTAAAGAGTCATCCAGGTCTGGTCGAACAGGGTCCGAAAGGTCGAAAAATCGCGGACGATCGAACGATCCTGAAGTTGCTGGGTCGTCTAGAGGTTCTTCCGGAACTTCCTCTCGAAGAGGTTCCTCAAAGTTCGGCGATTCCACGACGACGGAGGCTAACGAGCAGGTCGTTAGTTCGAGGAGAAATACGATTTCCAGGGATCGTTCGAGAAGCCCCGACGCCAAGAAGAATTCCGTGACCGAGTCTAGATCGAGATCTAGAGGTAGAAATTTGGAAAATAATGAGAAATCTAGTTCGAACGGTGGTCCGGAGAGGGACACGAAGCGCAAAGTGGCTGGGGAGAGAAATTCTTCGGATAGGAGATCGAGAGTTTCTGACAGTGTTTCAAGAATCACTGAAAGTCGTGGAAAGGATAGTCAGGATGTGCGTGGAAGATCGAGAAACAGGTCGAGACCGGATGTTACTACGGGTGAGATAATTTGCTAATTCTTTGCTTATTAAATTTCTGTGTGGTGATTTCAACGATGCATGAAAAGGTTCTTCTATTTTTTTTTTTTTTTTTTAATTAAAATGTAAATGCACTAATACATTTGGTATTACTTGACTAGACACTTGGTATTACTACATTCAGTAATTTAGTTTTTAAATGTATTGAAAAGAAAGAGTGTAACAGTCAATTATCTAATTATAATTAAGAGATCTTTCTAAACTCGTAAAATTCAATTGTTCGAACAGATGTTACCACAACTGTTGCGCCAGAGACGACAGCCCTCATCGACGTAACAACCATTGATTCTGAGGTAACAACCATAAAACCAGTGACACCAACGACTACTTCAAGTTCAAGAGCCACGTCTAGACCATCGTCGAGTTCCACTTCAACGACTGAAGCGTCGGGACGAGGTCGAGGAAGAGGCAGAGGCGGGAGTCACGGTAGGAAACAGAAAGAGGACTTCTTCAATTTTGGACTAGGGTTCAGAGGTCGAAAACCCTCGCCGGAAGGACCTTCGAACGCGACGCAGCCTAGAAAAACAATCTTATGGAAAAACGATACGCCGATAAACGGAAATCCAGGCTGGACGCTCAGAAGGCGGCCAGGTCATTTTAACAACACCGCGAATCCCTCGAGAACGATCGTGCCCTCGTCGAGGGATCAAACGAACGAAGTAATACCGCCGAACGAAGAGTCAACTAGCACCGAAGTAGGAGTAACGACTACCACGGAAAGTTCTACTACTACGTTCAGCTCGAGAAGAGGCTTCAAGAAGCTGCAAACAATAGATGAAAGTTCTACCGTGGCTGGAACCACGGTGAAGAGCTACAGAAGGGGCAACAAAACCTTTGGAAACAGCAAAGCGACCGCGGAGCGTGAAGAGAGCGACAATTATCCGCCCGAGTTTAAGGCGAGGTTAACTCAGCTGGTGAGTTTTATTTCTTAATTGGATTTATGGTGGAATTAAGGTCACCTTTCACTAAGGAAATGTTGAATGGGTTTGCAATTTTATCGGACGGACGTACGAAGAACGTACAGTAAGTCACAGAAGTAGTCGAAACAATCTCAATCTCGGATCATTGCGAATGCACGACGATTCACATCTTTTTTTTGTAATTTTTAAAATTCTCGCCAATGGGGATGCTAATTACTGTGAAGTATATTATGCTTTTATATTATACTGAATTAATTACTTCAAAATTGATGATTACAGAATTTACACTAAATATCGATTGTCCAATGTGTCAGTCATTGGGAAAGTACGAATATTTCTGTGATTCACTTATGATATAATGATTAAATTAGAAGGAGAGATCATAAAATTTTGAATATTTTTAAAGAGAAATTTATTTGTTTTGTACTTAAAAATTAATAACACCAAATCAATTGAATAATGAATATTAAAATAAGAAAATTTACATTTCATTGGTTTTTGTATATTAGATGAAAATCAGTAATTATTTGTTTGAAATTTCCTCATATTCTTCACAATTCCGAACTTAACATCACAAGAGTTTGACACGCATGTAGAGACTCGCGTTACATTTTCATAAAGAATAGTAGCGTGTGCTAATCGAGAAGTATGATTTCAGAAGAATACCAACATGAAAATACCAGCCCCAAAAACCACCTCTCGCACGCAATTGGAGGTAAGAATTCAGAGCGCCCTTCAAATCAGCTTACAGCATCCGAATGATATCTCTCTTGATCTCTAATTAATAAGGTGTAACATATACTTCTATGCTTCTATTCTAGTTCAACGGTCATCAGCTTTCATTATGACAATACCTTAATACGTAGACGTTTCGCTGACACTACATTGCGTTGCTGTAAAATAACAAAATGAAAATGGTACACTAAATAGTGTAAATCACTAGATAACTAAAAAAAAAAAAAAAA